AACATCAATTTTCCAATTTTTTATTAATAAACATATAAAAAAAAATTGCCTGAGAACATTAAAATCGATTTAGATTTTCAACACTGAATATATTTATTCATTTTTAAAAATAGGAAATATATAAGATAATTGTTGTTTTAATAAAATTGTAATTAAAAAAATTAATATAAAGCAATCATCTATTATCTGAAATTAGCAGGAATAAGAATGCTAGCAGAATATCTAATATTAGATATTACTATAATGAAGAAATTGAAGTCAAAAAGAATAAATATAAAGTCAAACTCTATTTTCTAATATCAGAAAAATGAGTAATGCTAGTAAGACTTCTAATATTAGATATTGTTATAACAAAGAAATTGTAGTTAAAAAAGATAAATAAATAAGATACAGTATATATTGTAGATAATAATAATATTATTTTGTTTTCCAATATGCTAATAATAAATTTTTATAAAATCTAATTTCTATAAGATTTAAAAAAGTGATTTAATTGTGCACAGTATGTATTTCTGATGTTAATATAAAAGAGCATAGAAAAATTGATAATATAATAATGTTATCAATTGTTATATTTATTTATTTTAGTGATCAATAAGCTTATTCTCATTATAAATAAAATTTAATTAGTAATTATATATATGTATATATTTTTTTTAAAAGTGTAAATAATATATTACAGGATACTAACCTTTTGATCAAAGAATTAATTATAAAAATAACAATTTAACCACATGTATTTGATAATAAAAATAACAAATGTATTTAAACGATTCCATTAATTTCACTGAAAATTACTTCACTGACAACTTAATTCACTGACAATTAATTTACAGACAAGCTTATTTCACTGACAATTATTTCACCAACAAGTTCATTTCATAGACAGTTTGTTTTACCGACAGCTCATTTCACTGACAAAGTAATTCTGGTCATTATCGTTAGGGTTAGGTTCAGAATTAGAGTTAAAGTTAGTGCATTTATAAAAAAAACTTGTCAGAGAAATAAGCTGTCGGTGAAATAAACTGTCGGTGAAATAAACTTGTTTGTAAATTAATTGTAGATAAAATAAGCTTGTCTGTAAATTAATTGTCAGTGAACTAAGTTGTCGATGAAATGATTTTTGGTGAAATAATACGAATCCGTATTTAAAGATATTATAGTATTATATAACAGAGTACTAAAGTAATGAAATCTAGTAGACAATTTTGGACTATTAGATATCTGATTTTTAAAATCAATAACTTTTTCTTAATATTATTATATTTATTAAATCTATACTTAACTGTACTTAACAACATTTATATATGTATTACTAAATATAATTTTATTTTATTTAGATATATATATATGTATTGAACATGTGCTGATTAGTGTTAATCTATTCAAGAAAGACTTTGGCATTTACACAGATCAAATATTGGTAAATACTTAAACTCTACATTATATTATCAAAATACAAAAATTTGTTTGCCTTCTATAATTTTGACCTAGGATCAAGTATAAAATAAAACATTAAAACAAACCTTTTTTTTTACAAAAAAAATGAATTACTCTAAATTTTAATTAAAAAACTACCTTTTGTGGCCTAATTAAAAATGTTTCTTGTAATACTATATTTTACTAATAAGCATTATATTGTTCTAGCTCTAGCTCTAACTCTAATATAGTTTTCTTTGTTTTTACTTAAATATTTGTTTTGATATCTAATCTTAAATTTTGATTAGTCAAAATTTAGATTGATAATTGATAAATTAAATTTTTTTGTTTTGGTTTTAATACAAAAATATAATTCACAATTACTTCAAGTCTACAACACCTACAACTACAAGGCCTACAACTACAACTACTGCAAGACCTACAACTACAAGACCCCACAACTACAACTACTACAAGATCTATAATTGCAAGGCCTATAACCACAACCAATACAAGGCCTATAACTGCAAGGCTCACAACCACAACCACTACAATACTCACAACTACTACTACAAATGCTTCAGATAAAAAAATTTTTTCTATTTATATTTTTTTTTTCATTTTAAGATTTCTTTCTTTCTCCTTGTGAAGCCTTTTTTCTTTCTCTTTGTAAAGCTCTATTTATTATGCAGTATTGTCAAATTTTGTTAGAAGCTAGTACAACTGCAATAACTACAACTGCTAAGCTAGCTACAACTGCAACAACTACAATTATTAATTCAATCATATTTACAACTACAAATATATACTACTATAGTATTAGAGAGTAACTGCTTGTAAAAAAAAAATATCACCATTGACAATACTGCATTTTGAAATATTCTACATTTTTGTAAATTTGGATTCTTTGCTATGCTCTCTAATTCTGAACAAAAAATTAGTTATATTTTTATAAAAGTGCTAATATAATATTTGTTTTTTAATATATTAAAGGTTTTTATCCTTGTTGTCATGATCCAAAGTTGATGATTCTAATTTTTAGCAATATTAAAAACTAAGCAATCAAGATATAGAAGATTGGCTTTACCCTATTTCTTCTTATGACTATTTATATATTAAAAAAGAATCAGACAGATGGTATATTGCAATACATACTCTCTAAATTTATCTTTAATATATTTACTAAAGTTAAATATTTATTTTTTTTATTTACTTAGAATTAGGTATATTCATTTCTCTAATTATAAAGATGCTAGTGAGTTTCTATTTGAAATAGATTACAAAAATATACTAGGACTATTCAATTGAACTATAAAATTCAGTGAAGCAAAATACTACAAAGCTTCACTAAACAATGAATTTGTTTTGGTATATAATAGTTTTTATATTCTGGACACTATGTATAAATAAAATTTTTACTTTTGCTTATATCCAACTGCCTAAGATATAAC